TATAGTAAGTTCAAAAGGTTAGTAAAAAGAGTTGATGAAAACATGGCAGATGCCCAACAACAATATTATTTCAAAAAGGGCTTGAGACCCGAAATACTTTCCATGATATTAATGCATAACCCACAAAATTTGGGGGAAGTCCTGGACAAGGCTCGTAGATACGAGCAAGGTACCAATTTTGCCTTAAATACCGGCCCTAATTTGCCAACTTAGGCAAGAAATTATAAAAGAGAAATTGAAAACTTAACCCAGCAAATACAACAGTTAAGTCTCAATTATGCAAATATGGCAACAGCCTTAATGGCTCAATCAGATAGGGCGGTAGCTCCAACAAGAGTAAGGTAAGAACAGCCTTATAAGAAGAGTTCTTCTGGTAAGTGCTATAAGTGTGAAAAACCTGGCCATTATGTGTATGAATGTTTGTTAGAAAGAGTAGAACGCCCATATCAAATCCTAAAATGATCTACTCGTAACAGACAAAGTAGGCATATTAATACCTGAGTCCGAAAGTGATGATGAAGAGGTATTTGCTGCTAAGTATAAACCTTACGGTACTAACTGTAAGGAGTTTAAGGAAAAACAACAACAAAAACAGTTTGAGTCACATAAAGAATATCAGTTACATGAAAGGAAACGAAATCCTTTAGCTATAGAGAAAGAAGAAATTGAAGATTCAATGAACTTGGATAATAATGTAGTTCCGGAAGTACCACCAAAGAAAGTTACAACACGTCGCTTACTCTCTGTTGTGGATAAGCTACAGCCTTATGATATATTAGAAGATTTGTTAGATGCACCTGCTCGAGTAATATATAGACAAATGTTACAAAATCCAACCCAACATCATAACTTGGCTAAGGTACTTAGACAGAAAAAGGCCCCAAGTACTGAAGCTAATCATTTAAATGCAAATAGTCAACACAAAACCATGGCAATGTGTTGCCATGTAAGAATTAAGGGTAACCTGGTAGTTGCAATACTAGACTCTGGTGCCGCCATAAGTATAATAACAAAGAAGCTTATGAATAAGCTTAAGTTGGTAATTGACAAACCATCCCAGACTATTGTCGTCATGGCTAATGGTAATAGAGCTAAAGCTCTAGGTATAGTGAATAGTGTTAGAATAACTCTACAAGACCTAGTTATACCTATTGATTTGCAGGTAATTGAGTCCCAAGAAGAAACACTGCTTTTGGGTACAGACTAGTTTAGTAAGTCAAGAGTGAAGCTTGACTTTGGTAGTAATATCCTACATATAAAATATTTGGATAAACAAGTTACTATAAATATGACCCATGTTAGTAAAAGTTTTAACAATCAGGAATTAAAAGAATTCACTAATGAAGAAGAATGGATTGATGAGTTGGAGAATGAAAGTGAAGAAGTTCAAGCCTATTATTCAGATAAAAGTACCTCTGAAGAAGATGAGATGTACTTTAACCCATAGACCAACCATAATCCTGCGGTATTTATAGCGAATTCTTTGCTAGAACAGTTAGAGTGGGACAATAAGTCCTTTAATATTAATCCTGAATTACCACCTACTCAAAGAGAAAAGGTGATGAAGTTACTATTAGAGACACCTCGAGTCTATATGGAAAAAATTAGTAAGTCAGGTCAACGGTTGGCCTAAGTCAAACTAATCTGGTGCACCATGAAATATTTACAGATAATGCCAAACCTATTAGTCAGCGTCCCTATGGCATATCCTTAGATGATCAAGAATTTCTTAAACAAGAAATTCTTGATATGGAGAAAAAAGGAATAATTGAGGAAGTTAAAAGCCCATGGACTTCTCCCGTCATTCTTGTGCCTAAGAAAAATGGCAAGAAAAATTGTACATTGATTACCTTAAGTTAAACACGGTAACAGAGAAGGATATTTATCCTTTATCTAACATAAATGAAGTTTTATCTGTGTTTGAGGGTGCAAAGTAGTTTACTAGCTTAGACTTAGCTAGTGGATATTGGCAAGTTGTAGTAAAGAAAGAAAATAGAAAGAAAACTGCCTTTATAACAAAATTCAGCACATATCAATTCAATGTAATGCCGTTTGGGCTTTGTAACACTCCTTCAATGTTTCAATGTCTAATGAACCACATGTTGAGTACCTATATGAACAAGTTCGTAGTTGTATACTTGGACGATTTCACCATCTATTCCCGGACATATGAAGAACACTTAGAGCATGTTTGACTTGTCTTAAAAGGTTAGAAGAAGCATGTCTAACATTAAACCTAGACAAGTGTTTCTTCTTTTTATATAAGATCAAATTTCTAGGTTACGTGATTAACAAAGATAGTGTTGCTCTAGATGATGAAAAAATAGCAAAAATAAGAAACTTCTCTATACCAACCACATTAAGACAACTTTGCGTGTTTTTGGGTCTCGCCTCCTACTATAGACAATTTATAAAAGAATTTTCCAAAACTGCAAAACCCTTTAAACAAATTGTTATCAAGTGAAGTCAAGTTTTACTGGGCTAAAGAACAAGATAAAGCCTTTAATACCTTAAAGAACCATCTCATTATGGCTCCAATTCTAAGGTATCCCGACTTCGATCGACCATTTTATCTATATACTGATGCTTCAATTACAGGGTTGGGTGCCGTATTAACCCAACTAGATGAGGAAAATAGAGAGTATGTTGTGGCATATGCTAGCTGCAGTGTAAGTAAAACAGAGAAAAATTACTCTGTACCTGAGTTAGAGTTTCTTGCAGTTATATAGACCATGGAACACTTTTATTAGTACATAGAGTTAAAGCCCTTTTTCTTAATTACAGACCATTCCGCGTTGAAGTGGCTAAGAACCTCAGAGCTAAAAGGTAAATGTGCCAGATGGATTATGAGGTTGGAACCTTATAATTTTATAATCATCTACCAGCTTAGACGTAAACATAGTAACACTGATGCTCTCTCACGTCTTAATAATAAAGGGAAAGACAGAGAGGTTATGATTAATTATATCAGTATAGACACTAATAATGGGGAAGGTAATTCTGTACAGCATGCAATTAAAGAAACCCTAAACTATAACCCACCTAAGTCTCTTATATCTGAAATTTATCCATATGAGAATGTCAAATTTATATTACAAGGTATTAGACATGACAGCTAGTTAAGTACCTGGTATTATATAGAACACATAAGTACATCAGCAAATTTAATAGGGCATAATATTGTGCAATAATTTACGAAGTGTAAGAAAACTGTAATATTACGTAATAACTTTCACAATATTGTGAAATATATAATTACGAAATATTGTGTAAGATAATTACACAATATTACGCAAGAAATAATGCAATTTTACGCAAAATAATTCGAAATAATTCAAAACAGATTAAAAAAAATTAATATGAATTATAAGCGCAAAAAAATTCGAAATAATTCGAATTATATTAAAAATGTTTGAAAAAATTAGAAATAATTAGAATTAAAGAGCTAAAATTTTTAAACGACAATATTCAAGAATGAAACAGATTTAGATAAATTACTATGAAC